GATGTCAGCGCTCGAGTGGTGTTTCTGCATGCCGTCAGATGACGTCCCTTGTTGGATTGGTTGAGTACGGAATAAAGTGTTTTCCGCCTTCACGCTGTGCGTCAGTGACATTAAAATAATCGCAGGCAAATACTATTCTTACTAGAAAAATGATAATTTCGTGAATAAAACGCAAACATTCATTATGATCTGGGTTGAGTTTCATGACCTGATGTAAAGCAAGAACGTCAGCACTGGCACCAAAAGTTGAGAGACTCATGCTTGTTGAGCGGCTACATCCGCAGCTGCATGTGGTCCTTTCGTTCTTGGTGCTGTCCTGGCCAGCCACCATGGCCACCATTGCCATCTTGATTACCGTTGCCACCATGATCGCCATTGCCGCCGTTGCCACCTTTATTGCCGTTACCGCCATGGTCGCCGTTGCCTCCGTTGCCACTGTCTCCAGCCGTTAGCGGGACGCACTCCTTGTAAACTTGCCAGGACCAGCGGCTCTTTACAAAGCGGATTCCCAACCAGAACCAATAAAGCGTACAGCCACCTTTCTTTTCGCAGGACGAGTAGTCAATCTTGTATGACTTGCCAGGGAGCTTCTCGTGACAGTTGTCGTACTCCAGAACTAGCTCGTCATCGAGGTAAACAGCGCACGGACCGTCATGCGTGTAGCCCGTTGACTTCATCATGCCATCCTTCGGAATGGGTCGCGGTGGGCCTTTCAGCTCGGTTAAGCCACAGGTTTGATCAGCGCCTGGCGTGACCGAGGTCGTGTATTTAGCTCGATCCATGAAGTCGCGCAAATTCTTGTAGCCACTTTGAGCACGCCAGCCATTGAAGTCTGCCTGACACGGGAAGCCCTGGGACTCCAGGAAGGCAAGGGGTCTCCACCTGGTGTCTCGGTCATTAATACCGGGCTTCCAGATAGGCTCGGGCTCCAGAATCAGTTGATGAGCATCGACGGTGAGCGTTAGAAGGGCGCTGCCGAATAAGGCAACGACCACGGTGAGTGTCGACACGAGCGCATGCGCCATCGAGAACGGTAGGAAGAAGAGAGGTATGCGGTTTCTGGATCCCAAATTGGAAAATGAGGTGGAAATGGAGCTATCAAAGTTGTGGTTTATAGGCTTCTTACTACCTTGGTATGGTGGAAGCCTTAGGACATAGGTGTATGTATAGGACCCAGCAAGGTGCTCCCCAATGTTGTGCTTGATAGGGATACTTACTATATTGGTTTTGGTGGACGGGCACCTTCAACGCGAAATTTGGAGGTACATGTATGTAAAGGATCTTGCCAGTGTGCGCAACCACGATTTTACTTGATGAGTCACGATTACAACGCACCGAGACCTTGAAACCTTAATGTGCATATTTTTCTTTTTTGCAGCGCTTAAATTGCGATGCAAACAAGATTGCTCAAGCGAGCTTGCAGTTGACTCGATTCAGTACGAATGTTGGAGCCGTCATGCAATATAAGAGAGGTTATTGAGTCCATTACATTGAGAACAGTACCCCCATTCAATATGGAATTCCGTGCTCACCAAGTTGGTTCAAAACATTTTCCGCGGATAGAAGCACATTGAGTTGCCTCCACGACGGGGGTAACTAGCATGCCGAATATTAGCTGCAAGCACGACTAAAGCGACGCAATACTAGAACTTAAATATTGCACAATTTCCAACGGATAAAAGTCAACGGACTGCACGTGTAAAAGCACATGTTCCTTAATATCAGCTTGGATCCAGCCAACGAGACAGCAAGGTATTTAAGTCGTGTTCTTGATCTGTCTAGTTTATCCTTTTCGTTTTGTTAGGTACAATACTATTCTATACTGAGTGCGTTTACTTTGGATTCAGGGACAAGATTGCTCCATTTTTCTCCCGCTCTTGCACCTGACAATCGCTGAACGCGGTCAGGTTTAGAGACTGCATGTTTTATTAGCTAATCCTATTTTCAAACTCACTAATAATTTCCCATCACCGTGACTCATCATAACAGCATGTGTGACTCATCACAGCGTTAACCAGCCAGTTTATAATAGACTCTATGATACGTGTATTCAATGCAGAATTGATATTGCTCAGATCACCTCCATACAAAGGCCGAAACTTCGACGTGCTACATTCACTGCGATTCACAATCGAGAAAAATAAATGCATGTAACACCTGGGCCGTGCCGACAAGACAAGCATCAGACAAGAATTTTCTTGCTAAGCACAACTCCAACCTCGCAACAAGGGCATTTTTTCCCGCTAAGATTTAAAACTACTACTAACACTGAAATAGTAGACTGGCTCTCGTTATTTGTGGACTGTGCTACTTTCGGTGATAGCTTGAACAACTTGCTCAAGACGCTCCATCCGTTGAGGACGACAACAGATGTTTTCCTCAAGATAGCGTTCACTTTGCATCTCTCGAAGTCGTGATACAGCACGCTTGAATGCAACCTTCAAGTCTTTTAGCGCAACCAGGTTGCCTACATCCAATCCGGCCATCTGTGACGGACCATAGGCACCTACAGGCGCATCCCAAGAGCTGGTAGTCGGCACACCCACAGCTGCGTTCTCCTTGTTTACACGCTGCTTCTCCTCCTCAATAGCAGCAGGGCTATTAACCCCTTCCGACGCAACACGTACGCTCTCATCGTCAAACAAGAAAATACATCGAGGCTTGGCAGCTTCAGATGATAATACAAGCCTTGTTCGGTGCTCGTATAACTCGTCTACAAGCAGGATAAATCGTCTTGCTTGGTCGTGCTGCGCCATACTTAAAGCCGGTACGTCATCAAGTACTAATGTATGGAAGCATTCTGCCATCGCTTTGTAATCCGCTGCACCTTTCTCGGTATCGCACAACAACCTGAAGGATGCACGACAAACGCCACTCTTCGCACGACCTCGGACGTCCAGCGTTCGTCCCATCATCACAGGAATACGCAGTTGCTCGTCTTGAACATCACCGCTGTTCTCGTCAGCACCAAGCTTCAGTAGGTCTTGGTACACAGCATCCATCTTCTTTTTGGTAGCGTCTGTCAACGGCGTCAAGAACGTCTCCTCGCCACCTATAGGCTCGCAGAGGAACCTGTAGTCCACGTCCGAGTTCATCGACACCACTCTAGTATGCTGTGCCAATTGATCCAGAAACGGCAGAAAATACTCACGATTCGTGCCATCCTTGTATAAGTCCTAGCACAAGAAAAACTATAGTCAGTTAGGAATATTTTATCCCAACCGGCAAGGGTTCATACCTGTGGTGGGGTATTCGACGTTGCAATCATCACCACCCCACGCGCGAAGAACACACCGAAAAGTTTCCTCATGATAAGTGCGTCTGCCACATCTGTGACTTGAAACTCGTCGAAACACAGCAGGTGACTTTCATCCGCGATAGCGTGAGCCACTTGCAGCACAACATCTCGACTCTCGTCCAGCACAATGTGTCGCTGCCTGCCGTAGAGCTCCAACTGCTTCTTCTTCTCTTGATTCAATCGCGTTTGTACTTCAAGCATGAACTCGTTGAAATGCACACGTCGCTTGCGCTGCACGTTGGCGTTCCTGAAGAAGAGATCCAGCAGCATCGACTTGCCTGTTCCGACGCCTCCATGGACGTACAGGCCGCGAGGAACCATCACCACCTTTTCCTCTAATCGTTCTTCGTTGTCGCCATCATTCCCTATTGTCTTTTTCTTTATTGGAGACTGGAATACGGGTAACGCGTAGCCATTCAGACGAGAATGCAGTTTGTCGAGAAATCGGCGGGTAATGGCTGCCTGTTTGGCATCGAAAACCAGGCCCTCACTGTTCACTAGTGCCGCATATGCTTCAGAGGGCTTTGCAGATGGAGTTGGAAGAGAACCGAACCATCGCGGTGAGAAACGGGTACCTGGGAGGCATGAACGGAGCCGGTGAACTGGCAGCATGCTCTGTCTGGAATGCGAACCGCAAATAATGGTTGAGGATTCAAATACTTTATTATCCGATCGAACTATGTAAATGCATACGTAACCACAATAGCTGACGTATTTATTGACTATCTAAAAGCATAAACCTCTGCTGATAGCTGAAGAAGTAAATGGCAGTCAAACAAAATTGGTGCTGTAGTTGTCCTTAACGGACAGCTCGCTCATGGGTCCGTATGCGTCCTTGAGTGTACCCCGCATCTTCAGCGTCATGTGTTTCTGGAGTTGAGCAGAGGTGCGTTTTGCCGTTATGATCGAGTGGATCATCGTGCACGCAGTACAGAATACTGTCACACAGGCTGCGATCACTGACGCGTTCATCGGCGGACCGTAGACGCTCGAGGTGTCGTCCGAATCGGAGGAAGACGAAGACGATAATGCCGTTTCAGTGCATCGTGGACCAGTCCATGAGTCTGACGTACATTTACAACGTCCATTAGAGCACGAACCCGTGACGGTGCCAGTCGTTGAGATGGTACAGTCGGCATTTGAGTCACAGAACGCCATACCGGAGACTGCTGTGTCTGGGTTTTCGTCATCAATGTAATCGTCGATATTGTCCTTAATGAACTGTTTAGTCGGATGTGTATCCGGGTTACACCCAATTGCCATGTCCGTCCCATCCGAAGTGTCCTGGTACAGTCGGATGTAGTCGATCTTCAGGTACATCGGAAAGGAATCGCAAATCGCATTATTAGTCGAGCTAGACCCATCGCCACGACAACTTCCTGACCCAGCATTTGGAGGAGAAGATCCCCACGAACTCGATAGTGCCACGTTAAAGATGATATACATCGGCTCCTCGATCATGATCTTCTTGGGGTTCATCTGTGCGCTGTTCTGAGGTGGGTTGGTGAGCACGTCGGCTGTTATTTCGAAGATCGGTTGACCTTCTACCTCCCAACGGATGTAGCCTTCGTCGCCCATTACCCACTCCACGGAGTACGTAACCCAATCCAAGTACGCGGCCATGTGAATCTCCCAATTAGACGAGATGGCATCCATTTGGTAAGCGAATTCAGACGCAGCACTTGTTGAACCGCTCGAGGCGGTGCACTCAGACACAGTGTTGCCAGCGCTACACAGATAGGCACCGTCATACTGATTCATCTTCGGGAAGCATGTTCCATTAGCATTGATACCCCAATGCACTCCCGTGTTCATGTATCCGAGATCCGCGTTCGGGTCGTATGATCCTGGACAGGTTTCCATAGTGCACGCGTTGTCTGTGATGCCTTCTTCTATAGATGCATTAACCGTAGCGAACGTTTGGACATCGTCCTCTTCAACGTCACATAGATTATTGGCACCGTAACGTAGACCCTGATACCATGACTTGTGACCACGCAGGTTGTAATAGTATGCAATGGGGACGTCAGGTTGGTTAGCACCTTCCGTTGTGCAGTCGTAGCTGTAGTAGCAATACTCGGACGAGTTGTCGGCGATGCGACGGAAGTCCTCGGGCATACCCGGACCTACTTGCAACGACGTTGAAATCGCAGTACCTCCGCCTTCAAGGATATCAATCTCCGGCGCGCCCCGACCTTGGTTGGCGTTCAAACCCGACCCCGGGGTATCGTTGCACGCGCTGATACGCTGGTTCTGTGAGTCGAAGATGGTCTCGTTGCACTCGTTGTACGTGAACGGCCACATTCGGCTAGTGGACGCACTGAAGATGGCTCGACCCAAGTTACCCATGAGCCAGATACCAGGCCACGTTGGGTAGTAGTTGATGTTAGCGGCTCGTACAGTTGTCGACCCGGTCGACACATCCGGGTTGCCTGATTCGTTCGTCACAGCTCCAGGGAGCTGTGCGCGTACCTCAATCATGCCGCCCTGGAAGCAGAACTTGTTCCACGACTGTACCATTCCTGATCGGTAGTAGAAATACACCGTCTGATAGCCTGGTGGAGATATGTAGTTATTCCAGACCGTCTTAGCGATCGTCTCGTCCGTCGTGTTGATGAAGAAGTAGCAGTGGTCGTCGTCACATTCAGTTCCGGTCATGTTAGTCGAGTAGACTTCAAGTGCCGAGTTGACGCCGTCGGCTTTTTCTAGTGCAGTCCATAGGTGGTCGTCTCCGGCCTCGAAGGTGCGACCTTCAGTGTTGAATTCGTCGCTCATTGTCAACGTCCACGTCTTTCCTCGCGACGTTGTGTACGACTGAGCGCTGTCGGGACTGCTTGGATCCACCCAAGGTAGAATCCCCGATTTTGTAGAGTACGACGAGTTGGAGGCCAGCGCCGATAACGACACTAGCGCTAGTGTTGAGGAAGCTACTGTCGTTATTGCCATCCAGACACCCATAGTGTGGCAAGCGAAATCTGAAAATGATAAACGCCTTGAGCTGTTAGCTCCAGTTTATGCCAGTGAAGTCGTTGCTTTAATGGTCTGAAATGAAAATGAGGAGCTGCCGGGACTATATCCGACGCAACAACGACAGATGCAAGACCTCTTGACAATCGCCGTAGCTGAATTCCCTTCATTTGGGCTCCTTCCTTCAGTGCGAGCGGCTCTCGTTGCATCCAAACCAAGACATGAGTGTGGCAACCATCCCAGTCCCAGTCTATTGCAACCTCGGTTGGTTCAGCACCACTGCATTGGTAAAACTTGCCATGAACCACAACCTGGTCGATGCAGACGTGATCCTCCTTCACATCATTGGCGATCGCTACCGGTATCTCGTTCGGATTGTTGCTTTTCGATAGTCGCACACATTTACTACTGTATACCACATCATTTAAGGAACGAACCTTTATGATGTACACCACACCTCTGTCATCAGGTACCCAACATCACGTTCTTCATTCTCATGGCACCGTCGCTATCTTCTCGTCCCGCGTCTCCAAGCGATGATGAGTCCGTGGACCTGGAATGCGGTCTCGCGTCCAGTCAACACCCTCTCACACGCCGTCAGATGGAGCGCGACCTCGTCCTCATCTTTGACTCGCGGGAACTTCGCCGCCATGAGGCCTGGTTCCTTGTGGAGACCAAGTGGCTCGACGCTTGGATGAGCTACGTCCTGGGCGACGATGATGACGCAGACGCACCGAAAAGACCGGGACCTTTGAAAAACGATACTCTCTTCGACCGCGAGGAGTTCCGTGTACGGGATAATCTTATACAGACAAAGGACTATCGGGGTGTCAACCCGCAGGTCTACGCGCTCTACGCAGAGCTTTACGGGACGGACGATGCTAAACCTATTGCACGCTGGACACTGGACTTATACGCAACGCCTGTCATGATCGACGACGTGCGGGAAATGTTACACGTCCCGGGACTGAAGGCGCGTTCCTTAGTGACGGAGATGAACGAGGAGCTACAGAGTCACGAGAAGGGGCTTGAAGGACTGAAGACTCGAGAAGAAGACAAAGAGAGCTGGACGTACAGATGTTTGTGTCGCTGTGAGTTCTTGGTCCCATGTCTGAACCGTTTGCTGGGAGGCGGCCCAACGTACAAGAAGGAGAAAGAGACGAGCTGGGGCGACTATTTCAGTTGCTGTAAGAGAAAGAGGAGGAGAGTGAAGAAGAGCAATAAACGGAAGAAGAGTAAGGAAAGTAGACAAGAGGAAGAGACGAGTAGTGAGGAGACGAGCAGTGATGAGGAGACCCACGGATTATTGGGATGATGGTCTCAATTTCTAGGTTTTGGGTGGTTTTTATGAAGAGAGAGATGAATAGATGCTCTTATTGTCGACGTTCTTCGTCGAGTTTCTGTAGAGGTTACTGTAGAGTTTGATCTTGTCCCGTCTTGAATTTCGGGTCTCCACCGTCTCCCCATTGCAGCGGCTTTTTACGAGATGGTCGCCATGGTAATACCCATAGAATCCCTGTGTACGAGCTGTTAAGTTCCGTATGGCTAAACGAAAAAGTTAGAGCATTCACCTGCGAACGGTCTAGGCCACGAAGGTTGTCGATATTTTGTGGAGTTGTTGGTCCCTGGTTTCTCGGCAGAGATGGTGGTAGGAAGGTATGCAGAAAATGTTTCCTCGTCGTCCAGCGTTTGGTCATCAAAGCAGAGTTGGAGTTCTCCATCCACTTCCTTGCGATAAGAAGACAGAAGAGTAAACTGCTTCTGTACAAGATTCTGTGGGTGCAACGACCAGTCAGTATTGCTACCAGATCATTCGTTCAAATTGACAGCAGACACACCCGCAGTTCGTTTACGGGGATGGAGGCTGATACACGTAGCGAGAAATACGGACTGCATAAAACCAAGAGAATATTTCAGTGTAAACATCGCTGTTATCACGTCATAACCAACGTACACTGAGCTCTCGATTCCATGACGAAAAGTTCGCGCGTCGCGTACCCAGAGGTGGACGAAGTTATCAAGAGACTGCAGCTTTTTTACAGTTCTCTCAACACAGTGGCAATCTCCTTCTGGTAATACGCGTTCGTAAGCTACAGTTCCAAATTCGCGCTTCGGCTCGCTGGATTCATCTGCATTTGGCTGGGTATTGGAAGCTAATGAAGAAGCAGAGACAGCTGCAAGGATCGCTGTCGACACAGCTAGCTTGTCCGGTTCATTCTCCATGTCGTGTCTTTAAAGCGTCTCTAAAAGATACTGTAATTGAAGCGCCGCACTAAATTCGTAACACTCAACCGATCTCATGCAGTTCGTCGGGTTAGCTAGCGGCATTGATGGATCTCTTCGTAAGCGCCGACTCACGTCTCCACGCTCACCAATACTGCAGAAGCTCCCGATTGGAGGTGCGCGTCGACTTAAAGACCGTCGAGAAGAAGCGATCGTGCGTCAATTCGAGCGGCAAGTTAACTCGGAGCTCCAGAACCAACAGCAGCAATGTCGAGAGCGGTTTCTCAATCGATGGCACCACATCCGCAATCTCTACGCAGTCATCAGTGAAATAATGACAACGCGTACAGAAACCTTGACGAACAAATCAAAGCTGCCACCAACTACGATAGGAGCATCTCTACAAAGCTCTTCGACATCTAAGGACACCACCAAGCCTGCTCCACTGTATAAATTAACATCCATGGCGTGGTTAATTGACGTGGCTCGAGAATTTCGCCAGGGTATTGCAGCACATATCATCACGATGCCTCAGATGGAGATTGTTTTCAGTACAGCGCTGCATATATCCTTAAATTCAGCTCGAGTCTCGTCCTGTTTGCGAAACGTTTTTCAGGCTTTTCAACGCCAGCCTGAATCTTCGACGATAGATTATCGGGAGCTTTTGAGTGCGCTGTATGTGCTTGATCGCTGGCGTGAAGGTGAGAAAAAAATGGTAGCGCGCTGGTTTCATGAGTTCACATTTCCGTTAGTAGAAAATTCTGCTGCTATTGGAGATATGAAAATGGCAGTACGAGGACAAGATCTGCGATGTATTCTGTTCGCTGCATGTGGTGATGAAATGGATGAAGCCAAGATGCAGCCATTTGTGACAGAACTGCTTGCTGCTATGACTCAACGTGGCCGAAATTATATAGCTGAAAAAACATTTTGGGATTATTCAGGTGCGATTCTGATAAGTTCTAAAATATTTCAGATATTGTTTCTGATTCCTTATTTTACAATCTAGATGCACACCCGAAGCTGCTCTTGACAGTTAAAACGCAGTGTTGGAAGCGCCTGACGGATGATACTCGACTGAATTTTTATCGGGATATTTATCTGCACGCAAAGGAGCGTTTTATCAAAGAGGACGCACGTGTTCGTATTGAGAAGGCATTGAGTATTTGGCGTACTCGTGAACCTCGTCACAGATTTGCACGGTGGAAAGTCTTTGTAGCCTGCCGCAAGTTAATGCGAAGAGGTGACACGCATTTCCACAATTGCTCAATGGCGAAATTAGTGAAGAAATTCAGACAAAATTGTCATCGGGGGCAAGAAATGCACAGAATGGTGTTGGAAGCAAGAAAACTGTACAATGCTTCGCTCCTGCGTTTTACGTTTAAACCTTGGGCGTTGTTTTGGCACTCAATGCAGCTCATGTAAAATTGCCATTCAAGCAGGTGCACTAGATGTTTACAATACTCTAACTTTGTGCTGCCGCTTTTGTGTTGTAGACATGCTGCGGCTTGGAAACGCAGCGAACGGCATGACGTTCGTCGGTGTCAAACGCGATGTTGGCGTTCATGGTTCATGTTCCACGAGGTAACGAAGAAAAAAGTACACCGCAAATATCTGAATTAACTTAACTCATTGTGGTGTTTTCCAGCAAATAAAGGTGAGAAGAGCTTATTGTGACAAGATTGCAATCACATTTATTGCTACTCGACATCGGAAAAGTAAGAGTATCCAACCCCAATTTCTTTTTGATCAGCGACAATTCAACTCATATTTTGGTGCCGATATTTCTAGTATTGCGATCAAGTATAGACACTTGGTTGTTCCACAATCGCCGACAAAAGGAAGTTGCGGCTGCAGATATTCGTGGACGACAACTCCAACAAGATCTATGGCTGGCTGAACAAATTGAAGCCGAGAACGCTCAAATGGAAATCGAAGACAAATTGAGTGCCGCAGTGGCTGCAAAAGCTCTCGCATCTGCCGAAAGAGGTCGTAGACGCTCGTTTATTGAGGCCACTGATCGTGTCCACGCGAACCGCAAGCTGCAGAAGCAGAAAGAAGAGCGTATACAGTACAAAGCCAGCCGTGAACGTGCTGCAGAGTTGGAGGCAACACAGGCTTGGACTGCTATTAGAGAGCAAGTTGCAGTCGAAGTACGTGGTACCACGCTCACTTGGCTTGACACCCGTGATGCCAAAGACCAGATACAAACAGAGGCTAACCGGATCTTTGAAACGGATGCTAAGTGGATTCGGAGTGAGCTGGAGCGAGATCCTGAAAATTCGGCTAAAATTCTACCGAAAGGCTGTCTGTGGAAGGTTTTTCTGGAAGCTCCGCATGGTATTGTTACTAGAAAATTGACCAAAGCTTTTTACCTGAACACGGTGACATACGAGAAGCATTGGTGTGACGAGGTAGTTCTTGAGGACTGCCAGGGCATTGCTCGAGAAGTTATCATTCAGGCTCGAATAGACGAAGCTTTAGAGCGACTCAAGGAGAAACAGAATGAGTGGGAGCTCCAGAGACGCCAGAATATCGCTGCAACACGTATTCAAATGATGTTTCGCTGTCGGCAAGCACGGATCGTGTGTTGTCGGATTATCCGAAACTCGTTTATTAAACGAATCGACCCTAGATCTGGTCTGATTGTGTATTTTAACCTTGATCGGCCTCAAGATATTCGACGAAAACCACCTAAAATGATCGGAAGTGATGAATCTCTTATTTCCGTTGAGTCATCGACGTGGGTGTACCGACAAGACACGCATGGAGCTGGATACTATGAAAGACTTGACTCGGGTGAGTCATCTGTGGGGCCACCTGATCACTACATACTTTGTACACGCTGCTCTGTGAATTTTGTGACGAGACGAACGACTGCAAGTGGTGCTCGCTACTGTATTGGATGTTATGCGTGCATTCGCGCTACTTCCAGAAAGGAGGCTGGCGCGATTGTTGAAGAGGAGAGTGGGTGGACGAAAATGCCCGTGCAGGCAGCAAATTGTATGATATGTCGGAACAGTTTGGCTGATTTCATTTGTACGGATTGTAACCACGACGCCACTTGCACACGCTGCTTCAATGCAATACACGGAAGGCTGGCAAAAAACAAGATTCATTGCTCACCAATCCCGTTAGTAAACCGACTCAACGTCGTGTAAATACATCCAGCGATACCACAGATGTTGACCAAATAGTGCAAGTGAGTGAAACTTTTAAGCTTCAACAAAATCGTTAAAGCGTGCACAGCGCTGCATGTGTGGCTTACTACTTAAAGTTCATCGTGAGCTCATCCAGCAATCGCTTGGCTGTGGGCCCTACTGTCATTTTCGGCCCTTCTACTCTATAGTAATTTGAAATCTCCGAAAAACTGAGTTACCATTATGCTTCGCGGCATCAAAAACTGTAGTGGACTACAGTGTGGTACACAAACACATTGGCGTAGTTTCAAGGATACAAAGTGCTTGGAAGCGCTGTGCATTTCCTTTCCTCTTTGTTTCTTGAAAAAAAAATATTGTTCTGCTCGATGTAATCAGTAGGCTTTCGCTTCCGGACGATAAAAGAATATTCCGTATTTCCGACTTTAACATAGAGGGGGAGTGATTGATTTAGCCTGCACAGTTATTATCTTCATGTCGATAGATAACTAAGTGTAGCATAACCACGAGCACACACAAATACGTAAAAAAAAAAAAAAAAACTCAATTCTTCGACTCAATAATTCGTTGTACTGAGGAGGGGATAAACAACAGAAAAGAGACCAAAGCCGTTTTCGCAAAAACCGAAGTATGCATTGGCTAGTGAACTGATCCCCTTCGGGTTAACTCTGTCCACCTAATCCACAGCACGGTGCCGACGGATGTTGTCGGGAGTGTGGTAGTTCGGGTTTTTCACGATGTACTTGTAGTACTGGTCTGCAGGCATCGGGGTGTCGGCAGCAACTTGACCAATGACGAGCATGGTGGCCATGAGCAGGAATTGGGCAAGCTTCATAATGTTGACTGGCGAGCGGATTCGGAAAGTGAAGCTTCTTTAGTGCCAAACCAATTAAGGAATGAGATCGCACAAGCACTCTGAATTCGATAGAAATCCAAAGGTGAGACCTTGGTGTATATGCTGACCTCTATCAAGCGTAATCGCTCGCCATGTCGAGGGCACATCACCTTTTACGATCTCTTGGAACAGCGCGCCACGAGAAACTTGCACTCTCACCTTTACAACAACCCTGATTTAAACCAGCATCGCCGATTCCTTTCAATATCAAATAAGTTTTTCTTTTGCAACACCCAGAAGATATTTTTTATATGCATTTATGCCGAGCGATTCAATCTGGCGGGTGTCCTATTTTGGATTAAAAATGGTGTAGTAAATGTTGGTACTACATGTGCATTTGAGCGACACTCTCGACTGACAACAACCGATCGGCATTTGACTTGCAACACAACGACAGAATTTCTCCAGATCATCGTGCAGGAGCATCCGTTTTTCACGGCGGGACTGATGACGGTATATTACGTTGTCGCCAAGATAGGATAATCAGCTATCATTTGAATATTAACAGTGGTAGTAGTATTATTCCTATAAACTATAAATATTATTACAACCAGTTAAAAATAACGTAGTCAAAAACGTAGTAATAGTAGTATTGAGGGCCCGGGTGGTGGAAGTCAGTCAGCGTAGAGTGAAAAGCTTCGTGGGAGAACGCCTCAGTCAAACACAAAAGTGCATTCCTGGCACCGCGTGTCAGTGATAGAACAGTAACATAATAACATAAATAATTTAGTTTCTTTACCACGTTTGCAAACGGGTGCGGTCAGGTTGACGCTACCCAACCAGCACTCGCTATTCGTTTGCGTAGCACACCACTGGCGTTCTCCCGATTCTCGGCCATCCTAAGAAACATGCCGAAGCCGTTCTCATGGGTTGAGAGAGCTCTGGACGTCGACGCAGAGAAGCCGATGCGGTAGTCGAGACCTTCAAGTCCTTCGACATCGACAAAAGCCGGATGATGGCCTGCACAGTTTGTGTAGAAGCTGAACACAAGATACGTTACTGCTTGCTGTGTACAGCCCTCAGACGTGCAGCGAGGCAAGCGGTCTCAAGTGCCCTTGGAGAGGGAAGATCGTTACGTACCTGGAGTTCGAGCACGTAATGATCTTCGAGTACGGCGAACACAACACGACCGCCGCGTCTCCTAGGCGAAAGAAGCTCTCTTCCACGCAGAAGGCGCACTGCCGTGAGCTAGCGGAGAACCACCTCCGACCCATGCGAATCCGGCAAGCGCTTTGTCGTTAATATCCGACCGCAATTTCAAAATTTCGTCAATATCTACGGACGCACACACATGGAGAACCGCTTACAGGAGTTCAAGACCTAGATCCATGAGCACGCGTACGAAGGGTCAGAGGTAATGACTCAATCATTCATGTTTGGATGGCAGCTGGACAACAACACAAAGCCAATTGTTAGCAATGGCTCCGGCGAGAAGTCGTTCATTGTCGACCTCTCGATGAAGGCATTGATATTGAGGTTAATGTTTCCCTAAGATAGCTACATCTTTTACATGGACGCTACCTATAAGATGAGCCAGTGTGAGTACCCAGAACTTGTTGTGGGAATTTCGGATCGTTCGCGTAAGTTCCATTTGGTGGCCCTCTTTATTATATCGCGAGAGGCCCAGTTATGCTTCCAAGCAGCTCTGCTTGCACCACGGCGTCTATGCTGCTGGATTATCCAGAAAGAGCTGGTTGTATGCTACGCAATGGTTGGCGGTGACAGAGCTCAACTCAATGCTCTAACTGCGGCGTTCGGACACAACCCGGTCTACCAGTTCCTAATGTGTTTCTTTCACGTCCTGAAGAAGGTCCGGGAGGCGACTGAGCCTCTTTCCTCGGGTGCACGATCTACTATCCTACGCGATGTATACAATATGCACGTTGCTCGCAAAGAGTCGGTCTATTTGCCGTTGCAGAATGCGAGTTTAAAGCGCTGGTAGGAGGACCGAGAAATAAATCCATTTGCGAGCTATGAGTGCCCAGTGGCTAACGGGACGGTCGGCTGCGTGGCGTTCCCGACCCCGACCGGGTTCCCTACTACAAACAATCCTGCTGAAACCTTCAACGTAGTCTTAAAACGTAGTCTTAAAACGCGACTATACGCTTCGCAGAAGACCAAAAATAGGATCTCTATTAACCCTTTCGCCAGCCACTTTAGTGAACTATAGTATACAAATCTAGGATAGTCGGTATCAAAAGGAGGCATTTTGCATCCTTTAAGGCGAGGGATGGACCACCTTCAAATCTTCCAAGTGTAATTTGCTTGGTTTTTCTATGCCCATAACGACCTGTTGTAAACGTACTTAATTATAAAAGGAGGCATTTTGCCTCCTTTAATATGGATACATCGTCGTACTTATTTGAAAACCAGGAAAAGGGAGCATTTTGCTTCCTTTTATCGCGAAAGGGTTAAGATGAATTAGTGGGTGCTGCCAGGACCAGTTCAACAGCGTGTGGGCCTTTGTGTTTGGAGTGGTCCCAACAACACCCTCGCTCGTCGTGTTTCTGAGCCGAGGGTTAGACGGTTGGAGATGCGAGTGCTGGGTCAAAACGCATTGTCCGCGTTGTCTCACTTCGAGCTCTACGGATCGTGGTGACTCCAAATAAGCACTATAAGGAGGGCATTGCCGTTTCGGCACAGACAGTAGGAAACTATATCCGTATGGAGCATTGGACAGGTTGGAAGGTGGGAGTGGAGCGCCAGTGTGCCAATGCAGTTAATAGTTTGTGTTCGGGTCGAGTATTCACGTCTTGTACGTTCTGCGCGCTACTGACAGTAGCGATAGAGATATGTGGATTAGTCGGAGGAAACGGAGACGCTCTGGACTTCCTGTCCTCGGCAATGCTGGCCAGAACCAGTGGGCCAGCTTTGAGATACGATTGATCCAGCGCTCGCTGTAAATGGTGACAAGATTGGGAAGTTGCATGCACGAATAGCTTGAACAGATTCGGCATTTCAATGACTAAAATAATTTTCAGAGATGTGACGGGCTTCCGTCACACGGTGCAACTGCGTCCACCCCAGTAGCCAATTAGAGTCTAGTTCCACCTCACTGGTTGGCGTGGTCGCAAGACCACGCCGGTAACTTTCTTTAATCAGAGTTAAATCTACCAGCTTCCTCGCAACTGTGTACGCAAGGTAACGGGTTCGCTAAAGCCCGTTACAAGAGAGTACTCACGCATTATTGCACAGTAATTTTGTTTTAATAATAATAAAACGTTTTGGCAATAATGTGTGGAACAAGCGACACACGTCTTTTGAGTGATTCATATCACGTCCTCCGACTAACCAATATCATCAGCTCAAGATTTGCCAATCATCACCGAAACGCCTCGGCAGCTTTGACAGAATATAAGGCTGTCGTTTAAATACCTTAGTCTCGTTTTTCTATATTTTTAGTTGCATGTACCTCATCGTTGAACTCACAGATTCTACCTTTGTAGTCACTTGATGTTTTGTCGGACAAATTACAGTGCTGTGTTGGTCTCACCTCGCTCTTTATCTCTCAGTGTTGGATTGATGAGTGAAGAGGGTTATCACCGTTTGATTAATTCCCTGTCCAACACTGAAAGGGTAAGTCCATCTAACTCGTTGCTGTTATTGAACTGCCATTGTTTCTAACTTGCTCTACTTCTATGTCTTGTGCAAATCACTAGGCCTACCACTGTAGCTTGACGGAAAAGTGCATGTTCAAGGGAGACGGGGTACGACCCCTCCTGGTGGTCTATTTCAAGATCATCGCAAAAAGGCGCCATCGTCTGAGAGGTCGCTCTTCGGTGGTCGATCTGACAGCTTGGCGGTGGAAGCGGCAGCAGTACGAGGACAACAGCAGCGACGGTGGGAAGGATGAAGGTAGTGATGGAGGTGGTGCAACAAGAGTGTGTATTAATAACAGTGTATTGTTAACAGTGTAATATATGCAAGTGAGCATCAACTTTGCTGGTGTCGCTTTTTTTGCTGTGCTAAGTTTAGACTGTGGCCTCCTCGTAGACATTGCATGATTTTTCAATATCTTTGGTGGCATCAATAGCGTCGGTGGGGATCTCGTGGGCGTGCAAAAGTTTGTAAATTGAGCCCCAGTCTGGCTCGGGGCTGGAAAACAGGCTTGTTTTCATATCAATCCCAGGTTCAGCAGTCTCGCCTTCTTAAACCTGCCTTTATCGATGCCTACGAAAGAGATGTCCATGCGTCCTTGATCCAACGGAGTAGGTTGGTCTGTAATAGCCGCGTCATCTTGAACGCCACCGCAGCACCGGCAGCCCGAACTTGTTCCAGCAAGAACTCAACGCACTTGTGGCGAAGTCGCGCGTTAAACGGCTGACTTACGCGACATTAGCACACCGGCAGACGTAGGTGTAGCCCGGAGGTACCTTCAACAGCTCGACGTTCAACAGCCTAGCAAAGGTCTGTACGTCCTGGCGCCAGTATCCTGAAAATTCATCCCACAGCAGCAGCTCGCCCTCATGCCTGTCTGGCCTTCCGAGGAAATGGTAGCTGAGGAATGCAATGGATAGCTAGCTGTTCCACCAAGCTGTAGCGTTTCCATAGATATGTACACCACGCTGAAGTGGATCCAGTTCCGACCATAGAAGACGCTCGAACCCATGGTGCGTTGCTGTGTTCTCCCTCGCCGTCTCGGCGATCTTGGATAGCTTGGTCTTGTTGACGAGAAAGGGGTCAAATTTGTTTCCATCGCTATCACCCAGAAGCATGACCGCCACTCTCTCCTTTGTTTTGCCTGCACAGCAAACCCACACAGTATTAGAGTCTTGAGCCGCTACAGTTGGTGGGGATGTACTCGTAGTTTACACCTGATGTGTACAGCTAGCTCAGTATCACGACGCGATAAATGAATGGAACTTACCCGTTTGGTCCGCGTTAAACACTTTTGTAATCTTGAGCTCTTTCGTCTTTGCTTGAACCATTGATCTGAACGCATCTGATGTAGCAGCGGCATCGGCAGGGATAGATTAACCGACACGCGTTCTGCGGCATATGGCAAGCTGTGGCTACGCATAAAGTGCTTGCGCCAGCTCCAGGTAGATCTGAAAGCATCATGTGGGAGTTGTCAGTTACGGTACGCTTCTATAGCTTGTAGCTTGAGCATGAGGGATGCGACGGGCACTCCGTCACCACAAAGGTAGTTGATCCACTCAACAAAATTCTCCTCTGCAGCAGGAGACAGCGTGGCGCCCACGCCACGACTTCGGTGTCGACAGTGTAGGCGCAATTCGCTCGCACGCTTTGCCTCGATGATGGTCCTGATCGCCTTCTAGGAGTAGCATTGGTGCTTTTTTGTAAGTGGTCCTTACTTAGCCCAGGGTAGAAGTGCGATATCGTTTCCTTCATATTAGTCTTATCTAAGTAGACGACAACCTTCATCGCTGGTATGAAACGGCACTGCGCGCATAGAGCTTAAGAGTTGCTCTCTAGCCGGTCACCCGCTTTCTCCCAGTCTTCGCCATTCTTTGAGTATCTGGAATTGCAAATGCCACTAGGAATGGGTGGTTGGCTCGGTAACTATGGTATCGAGTGTCTTCATATGGTCGAAATATATTTGGAGAGCATCGCCTTCCCATTCCATTTGGATTCCAAAAGCGTTGGAGGATCGATTCCACGCTATTATCATGTAAGCATGAGAAAAGCACATCTCCTTGCCAGGGATCGCAAGCGTTTTACCACATAAAAATCTGTACAAATCGAACATCAGCCGGTCTTTGCCAGTCTTGATCTCGTTAGCTCCATTTGACGCGTCTTTAGTGAGCTTGTGCTTTAGCCTTTGAAATAGGTGTTACGCTCCGATTCCAAGTTTTGCTCATGGTCTTGTCGTAGCCCCGAAACAGGTTAAACAGGCCTGTTCTGTGCGTGTTGAGAGCAGAGTAGCTCAGCGCACCACCATCCCTTCGTTTCAGCGTGACGATCCAGGTCACAAAGTCCTCCGCGACCAGAGTATCAAAGATGAGGGGATCGACGCGTAGGTCCTGGTTGGTTGCTTTCTTAACTCGCGTCCGTGCTGCGGGGGAGTATAGGTCCCAATGCCCCCAATGCATTCAAACTGCAGTGCAACTAGGTGTGCTTTGTTCTCCAGCAACCAAGTGAGAAAACGGCAGTAGGAGTTCTGGTAGGTCCTTCGGGAGCGGGCTGTGACTGTGGTTTCGCGAATCTGGCAGACCTGGTCCTTTAGGTAGACCCAATCATAGCCCTCCATTGCTGTTGGATTCGTGTCTGCCGTCTTTGGTGCGAATTGGGATTTGCGCCCTCCGGTCGCTCCTCCACACAACGAACTAAATACCGCTTTTTCAGAAATGTCGGACTCCGTGTCTGCCTTTTATCGGATAAATGGGTTCAATGTCTGATATTTTGGGGAATAACTTACCGGATTCGACGAATAAAACGCAACGATGTAAATTGTAACCTCCAAGTCCAATCGTAAAAGGTAAATAGTCGTAAATATTGTAGCATAGAGCAGATGCCGCAAATTCGAAGAGCGACGCGAGGTAAGAGATTCGACTCTTAATAAGTTACCTACAATTATTTGTTTATATATATATCCCTATTCTTTATAGGCTGTGTTGGAAGTCCGGGCTGCTGGTGAACCCACCGAGGCGTTGGCCGAAAAGTACGGCGTCCACCGCGTGACGTTGTGGCGCTGGGTTCATGCAGAGGACCGGATAAAGGACGCTCTAGTCCTTAGCCACAAGAAAAAGAGATAAGGAAGGTGAAGAGGAGCGTGAAATAACGGTTTCCTGGACTAGAATCTCGGTATGTTCTTTATAATTTTTGTTGTATTTAACCATCGGAAGTTGTTGAGTAATACTAACTATTTTGTAGTCTTCTAGAATGGTTTACAGACATGCGGAAGAACAGGTCAATGCGTGAGTGATACCATTTATTATTGATGTGAAAAAAATTGTTCTAATGGTAGCAATCTTGTATAGGTGTAACAAGTCAGTGTCTTCTACTCATGGCTGTCCTCTTTGAACCCCACTATCTTACCAGGAGGTCGTTAGAGGCTTCTGTAGCTGCTATTAGGGGGTTTCGGCTTCGTAATCGCCAATCAGTGCGGGTTATTACCCACCGAGGCACCAAAAAGCGCACGGAATTACAGATATTACATGTTTGTCATACAATTCACATATTTGTTTTAAATGTTAATTTTGATTTGATTTTAGGGTGTGGCAGATCGTTTTTCAAGACCTATCCAGTACAATCTAGAGATGGTCGATTTGCTATCTGCTATCAAGGGTCAGAAAAAAATACGAATCAGTATTTAATATGGATCAGACGTCAATTTACATTGACATGGGACCCAAGAGAGCGATTGAGTTCGTTGGTGCTAAAAATTTTGATGCGATTCCAGGTAATTTGGCTGTACTTGGTTCTTTGATTATACAAGCTAACGTATCCTTTTATTGTAATCCAGGAATGTCGGAGAATTCCTTCCGAGTTTCTGTTTTTTTTTTTTGTGCCTCGGCTACGGGGCAAAAGCTGCTCCCTTTTGTTGTATTTGGAGGGACCCACAATGGTCCAGTTCATCTAGAGCTTATGGCGAACCGGAGCTATCGCACAAACGCCATACTCAAAGTCCAGAAAAAAGCGCATGCTTGAGTGGATGACTTATATAGTGTGCATTATGATAAATGTATGAATTATGATGGGAGTCAGAGCACTAAGCGCTCGGCAACACATTAATCTCACTTCCTTTTTTTCTCTCTCTCTCCTACAAGCTTCATTTGTTCTGTTTCCTTTCCAATCTGCGCCAAGTCGTACCCATGCCACGACACAATGTGGCCCACCACCGGCACGCACACCGAAATCGGGTGGTGAAAATAAAGATAGCAATTTTAATAAGTGACGTGAGCGATTTTCATGGCTCTCTTCGCTTCTATCCGCTAACTAAACTTACATTTCGCCCATGTAGCTGATCGCTGATGCGATTTCATAATGCTGTGAGGATTCCTCACTGAGGAATCAAGGTAAAACAATCACATCATACGCAGCTGAACAGCAATTTACCATGGACTGCATCGCATTCTAGAGATTAATTTCAACTGTAATAACTTATGCATGCGTTTCAATTGAAAACAGTTTTCAAACATTGCGTCGCAAGATTTAGCGTGAAAATAGAACAACACCACTCATCATTATCATTTGTCCAAAGGGTACAGCAGCAATTTTGTACTGAAGTTCTCGTAACGAGGCTAGCTTATCCTGATCAAACTGACTGGCAGTTCGTGATTGGACTGCAGGTTGCAACTCGTTCCAGCCTTCTCGAACATTCAGTGCGGTAATATCTGATTTCGCTGGATGTTGGGTAACCTCTTGCTTGAATTCCGCATAGAGATACATGTATTTCTCTGGTCCAAATCGTGCGATGCAACCTTCGGTCTCGATGCTTCCAACTGCAAGCGCTCCGGCACGAGAATGGATGGGAACACCTAGCGACTGCAACGTGCATTGCTGCAACCGTGTTGAAGTGGCACTGACTCATGAATGCGAAATTCGGCCTAGGAAACCTGCGACGAAGCAGAAATGCCACGTCGCCTACGTCACCATGGCACGACGCCACTGTTCATTGCCCCCTTTCCCCGCTCACGTGCGCGCCAAATGCACGCACGTTGATCTTGGCAACCGCACAGAATAGCTGCAGGCGTTGCTATTCTTGCCGGCCACCATCGTCCTCGACAGATAATCGAGGCCAAGTCCAGTTTTGCCGGTCGTCCTATTGTCTATGCCACAGTCGTCTGTGTCTCTGTCTTTATCGGTTCAGGGTTCGGGTTCGGGGGTTTTCAGTCCGAAACGGCTTGAGGATTGGCTGGCCAGTTGCAACTTGTTGCCATTCCGCGTTTTGCCAGCTTAGACACATTCGACTTTTTTTTTTTTTTTTTTAATTTATCACCAAGTTGCAAATGGCCTTCAATGATCGCTCCCGCAAGCGCTTCCTGCGTCTACCGCGTCGTATGGCCGGTGTTGCCGCCGTGTGTGCCGCCGCTACGGCCTGCAGTGGCTATTCCCAAGAACCAGCGCGCCTGGATGCCGCTCGTCGACCCATGGGCATGGGTATGGGCATGAGCAGCTCCCTCATGGTGCCGCACGCCGTGACAACCGCGCTTAAGCAACAACGCGCAACGGAGCGCCACATGGACGCGTGGCGTCTGACACGCAGTCGCTTGCAACAGGAATACGACCTGGAGGGCGTCATCGGCGAGGGTGGCTTCGGCCTTGTGCACGTAGGACGCCACCGCGCCTCAAACGCTCGCGTTGCCATTAAGCGCGTGTCCAAACAGCTGACGACCAAGGAGGATTTCATGCAGGAGGTGGATATTCTCAAGCAAGTTGGCGGTACCCACAACGTCCTGGAACTGCGCGAGGCATTTGAGACCTCAGACGCCTATGTGCTGGTCACGGAACTGGTGCAGGGCGGCGAACTGTACGATGATCTGGTGGAAAACGGCGTCTTCGGGGAGGAACGAGCCAAGGAGCTAGTACACGAACTGGCTGTAACTCTTGAGTATCTGCACTCGAAGCGCGTAGTGCACGCCGACCTCAAGCCAGAGAATATTCTGTTGGCTAACGATAAGTTGAAACTTATCGACTTCGGCCAATCATTCCGCCTGCACGATGATAATGGCCGTAAGATGGACGTGTGCACGACGGCGTATGCGTCGCCTGAGGTCATGGGACAGCGGGGATCCGGCTGTGCTATGGACGTCTGGGCGCTCGGCGTCGTGCTGTACATTGTGCTGTGTGGCACGCACCCGTTCGACCCCACGGACGACGCCACGGACGATGAACTGCAGCAGCGGATTCTTAAGGGCGAATTCGACTGCGACTCGGTGGGCTGGGCCTGCATGTCCGACAGCGCACGGGACCTTATCCGTCGCATGTTGACTGTGGACCCGAAGAAGCGCATCAGTGCGACGCAAGTGCTTCAGCACGAGTGGGTTACCAGTTTGTGAAAAAAAAAAAAAAAATTCACAGTTTTGCAAGATGCAAAGTAAAACGACTGCAAATTGTCGTTTGCATCGCGATATTTTTGTAGACAACCTGCACGGTAGCCTCGTGCATTAGAAGAGCTGATGGCTCGCTGCATTGATTTCATTAATTTATCCTATCTTTCATTCAGATTATTGTGTACTCGAGTTGATGCCGTGTGTGTTCGCAGGGACATTGAGATACTATTTGGCGCAAGCGTTATGCTCCAGGCACGAAGCGCAACGCTGCTATTAGATGATAGTTTTTTTTTTCTTAGCAGAAACTACTACTAGTACTCCGGAGAAGTAGGTTAATTAGTCGACACATAGCTGGATCATGTTAACAGTTGACTATTCTGCTTTGGCTTGATCGTGGTAATGGCAGCCAGTTGACAAATCTAACGTCTTACCAAGCGATCAGAGTCTCAGTCTGAGACCGCAGTCGCAGAAAATGATGACGATAAACTGTAGAACACCGCCAGGAGTTATATTTTCATTACTTGAAGTATTTTTCAATTTCTGCAAAGCTGGATGTTATAACTCAGGGGGGAATGCGTTTGCGCAGAAGACAGCTCGTTTGCGAATCAGGTGCAGGCTTTTAGTAAGGCCAAACAACTTCTATCACTCTTGCAAGGAGCTCTGAATAGGATCACTTGTTGCAGGTCGGTCAGGAAATTGTCATAGTACTCAACTATTTATTAATACAGTAGTAAGCAAGACGAGTCATCATGTTGTTGGTTAAGCAATGCCATCTTAGATGACAGTGCTGATTCTTCCCGCCATGACCACCGAGAAGACCGTTCTCATCACAGCCAGCATGTGAGGTTATTCCAAGTAGGCCGGTTGGAACTTCTTCAGCACACCACGCGCAAACAGGAAAAACCGAGAAGAAATGAAACCCACTAAAACTTCTAGTGTTGGCCCCAATTGACAACCTTTTGACATTTGCAAACGGTTCACAGCTTTCTCACCGTTTGAGGTCATTAATTACCCTGGCATCGGCATCCGCACGTCTTCCAAGACAACCAGCAAGGACGCGATCATGAAGTCCATCGAAGGGAACACTTGCAACTGACGACGGATCTGCGCGAGAGCAGCATCACGTTCGTCGCCATTAAATACTCTGGCATGAGCAAAGCCAGGGTCTGATCAAACCATTTGATTGGTATTTTGATCAAATTGATAGGCAAATTCTTTAGTGCCGACCTGTAATTCCCGTAAGTATCGAAATACCCATGATGATCAAACGCAAATCCGGCTGGATGAAGGTTACAGTACCAAATGTGTCTTCAATCAAATCTAGTTGTCTAAGGATCCCGAACGAGTTCTATGAACTAGTCGCTCTCATCCACGTGCTTCTTGTGTTTCTTGTGTTTCTTCTCCTTTTTGTGCTTCTTATGCTTCTTCTTCGCATCCTCGTCGTCATCCTCTTGAATCGCTTTTCGTTTCTTGTCCTTCTTGTGTTTCTTCTCCTTCTTTTCGCCCTTTACGTCCACTTCGTCACTCTCTTCGCCCTTCGAAGTTGACGCACCATCGTGTTGGAACGGACAGTTATCTCCGCGTACGCAGGATCCGGTGCGCTGCCAATTGTAGCAAACGCTCTGGAATCGCTTCTGGTACTCGCTCACTTCCTCCACGGCCGTCACAGGAGCGGCCTGTGTTGCTTGTCCGGTGTGTGCAAAACGACATGACGCTCCGCGCATACATTTGCCACTTTGGAAATTTCTGCACACTGCCACTTCGGCAACTGCAGCAACCGGCAATGCCACACGAACTGGAGCTTTCCAGCTGTCCTCCTCAGGCTCTGGGTAACCTCCAGCCGGTGCAGCAACGTGACGGAATCGACAGGCAGCACCACGTTTGCACTTGCCCTTCTGGTAGTTCTGACATACCGGTGCTCCTTCCTCGGCTTGAGTTTCCTCCTCAGGAGTTGCCTCCTCTACAATCTCCATTTCCACATTTTCATTCTCTTCCGGAGTTTTCTCGTCATTTCCATGCAAATGTTGAAATTTGCATGCCGCTCCGCGTTTGCATTTTCCCTTTTGGAAATTGATGCAAACCGGCGCATCAGAAGTTGCCTGAGTCTGTTCCATCGCTGGTCCAGTCGATTCTTGTTCAGTTGCACCCAAGGAAGCACCCGGAGTGGCAATTCCACCCACCGGTCGCTCCGCTGGTTGCACTAACTCTTCGGCATCCTGGTCTTGCATTACGTGAGCGAATTTGCAGGCGTCTCCGCGCGTACACTGTCCCTGCTGGAACTTGTGGCAAATACCCTTTTTCAGCTTCTTTTGCAGCTCCTCGCGCGCTTGCGCGTAGCCTTCGTCTCTCGATCCGTAGTCAATGTTCATAGGTCGACCCATAACCACCATGCCGTCCAACTTGACGGCCGCTTCGCACGGTCCTTCTTCGTGGAATTGCACATATCCGAACCCTCGGAACTCCTTCGTTTGAATGTGCTCGGCAAAGCGGACAGCGCGGATACTGCCACACTTGTCAAACACTTTGCGCAGCACCTCCTCTGTGATATCGTACGCCAGATTGCCAACGTAAATGGTGGTGCAGCCCTCGGGGCGCGGGCCAATGACTTTTGCCGGCCGATTCGCAATGGCAACTGCCCCATTTCCGCCTGCAGTGGACCCATTTTTCGGCTGCAAAAAGCGCACATTGAGCGTTCGCTTCTCCCATTTCGTCTGGTTCAGCTGGTCCACGGCGTCAAGAGCGTTGGTGTATTCGCAAAAAGTGACAAAACCGAAGCCGCGCGAGCGACCCGTCTTCTGGTCGTACACCACCTTGGACTGGTGCATCTCGCCGAACGGCTTGAACTTGTCGTACAGCGCATCGTCGTCCACATGCAGCGGCAAACCCGCCACGAACACTTTGTTGCGGTCGCGCCACAGATCCCCGTCCGCCATTGCCTTGCAACTGTGATAATGACGTCGTGGCCACTGAAAAGCGAAAAAAAATGGGTATTGTCAATGGTCGATTAGGTGCGAAATGGGTAAGTACGTCTTAGGTGCGGATCTTGAAGAGACGCGAAGAGTTCAGCAACTTGAACCGAACTTTTCAATTGTTGACTTGTTGCCTTGCATACTTCTCTTGATTCCCCGCACCGACACGGTCCGTGTTTTGGGACCCCGCACCGCCATTAACCACGCCGTTTCCATCGTCCGACTCCAAGAACCATCTCGCGGGTTTAACACCCGGCTTTTCGTTGAATGTCGTGTGAGCTACCCATTTCATTGTTCAAGTTACCAGCTACGTAGCACGTGACTGCAAACTATTTGCATTTATCACTAGTTTTTTTTTTCAAGTGAGACTCTCTCTTCACATGAGTGACGCCGAGGATGTTTGCGGATGTTTGGTGTGCGCCGTGCTGTGCGGAGTATGTTGCGTGGCTGCAGCGGAAGAAGACAAACGGGAGCGGGAACGAGCGGCAGCAGAGGCCTTGCAGCTGAAGAACCCAGACGTCATCATGGTGAACCCTGTGCCAGTGCCCACGCCGTTCTCGCAGCTGCAGAAGCAGACACAGGCACAGCTAGATTTTGCTGCAGTACCAATGCTGGAGACGAAAGAGCCCGAACCGAGCAAGAAGAAGAAGTCGAAGAAACATAGGGACGGGAAAATGCACAAGAGGAAACTAGGAGGCAAGCGTCGTGAGCCTCCATCATACTAAAAGGACGTCGCCAGTCCCAGTCCACAGAGCAATATGCCTGTATCTCGTCATGCACGCGGAGCGTCATAGTGAAATAAGTAGTAAACGTCGTCGTAGCGCAGCTCATTGGGAAAGCTGCCGTCGACAAGAAATACAAGACGTCCCCATTTTTGCATTAACTGTTGAGCGAGACTCAGTTGCAAAAACCGTAGAAAATTGTCCGAACTCAAGGCGTTGCACCCAGCTTCCACTACCACTCAATCACACAACAGCATTAAGGTTTTCGGAAACAGCAACAATTATTCAGATTAGTTCAGAAGCAGTCAGTACTTTTGGGGACAGTTAAGCATGACGACCTGCCTTGCGTGGACTCAGCGTTAAGCTCCATACTCGTTCAAACAAAAAAAAAAAAATGAATCTGGCCCCTATAGGTTACACACCACTTTAATTTCTGAAATGCCGCAGATTTTGTGCAGTATCCACGCCAGACTTGTCTGCGTAGTCAAGTGGTGCGTCTTTATCATTGGATTCCGTGCCCTTGTTGAATGGATCAATCGATTGCTTTATCAAGTAGTCGCACGGAGCGAGCCTCCCTTGAGGATTACAGTCTGGTACTTGATTCCAGCATGTAACACACACCAATGTGCTGTGTTTGTCAACAGTACAATGACTTGTCCGCTTCATTGGGGCTTCGAACACGTATGACTTCCAACGAGCGATTGCAGGTGAGCAACACTGAAAAAGGTGATATTATCCAGCATCCTAACGTTTGTAGATCCCCACGTATCCAGCGTATAGAGCGGTGACATTGACATGCATCCGAGTGCATCACTATCCTCGATGCCGCCGAAGAAGTCGACGTGCCGCAGGGCTTTCCGCTGTTCGAGCAAAAATGATACGCCATTAGAGCACATTGTGGTGTTCTAAACCAAACGAGCGTACCTGACGAAGGCTCGGAATATCCCTGAGACTGAGATTGGGGCTGGGACTGAGAATCTTCCTCGCCTACATTAAAACCAGTAAGTTTAGGATAATTAATGAGCCACTTCGACTGTAGAACGCACCAGCTGCTGCCGTCAGTTGTGAGAGCTGGAAGAACTGATTCAGGGACTGCAGAATACACGCAAATATTCAATATATCGACACTTAAATGCATCCATGGCAAGTGAACGTACCCCGATCATAAATTCGCGCATCGAATTGATTTCAAGCGCCGAAATGTTGTTCATCTGAATGGCAAAAGCTGTTCCACCACCCTGTACGTCGGTGGCGATCTTGGTCAGACCGTTGCGGATCTTGTCCTGTCGAACGTTCTGCAGATCTTCCAGCAGTGAGCGTAAATGCTCACCCTGATCCAAATCTTCGGGTGCACTGCACAAGACGATAGTGAGTTTCAAGCTATCAATGGTAAACCCAAATTTGGGTGCATATTGTATACTAACTTCTTCAGTAGCAGCGACGCCACTTCCAAGTAGTGGAATGGCAGTTCCTCGAACACTTCACTCGTCTTCTCACGCTCCAGCCGCGACGTCAGGTAGTCTGTTGAATGGACCAAGGAAAATGGGTAAAAAGTCAAAAATGAAAAGTGTCCATTTTTAAGCAGCTTCGACGTACCAACAGAGAGCCATGAGGGTGGCAGAATTAGGCATTTGTTGAGCTGCTTGAGCATGATGGCTAGCCACAGCGGAACGTGCGTGGTGATACCTGGCTGGAAAGGTCCGAAGTTACCCTGAGCAAAAATATACCCAATTTGTCAGAATACCCAATTTGTTTTTGCAATTATGGGCCACTTACGCCAATGAAGTTGAGCATGCCATTGTTATCCCGCAGGTGGAACTGAGGCATGATGAGAATGAGTTCCTGCTCTGCCTGGATAGACACGAAGACGAACACACAGTTAGGTAATCGCCATTTCGCCAGTACAAGCCGCGCGGCTGGACTCACTAGGAACTCGGTCTCGCTCGCCGACAGACTCGCCATTGCGTCAGTTTCGCGCCAAAAATTGAGTCGCCAATTGTACCCAATTTTCGTTAGGAAAGTTAGTGAGTATTATGTTTTAGGGTACCCTACAACTTATCCAAGTGGACAAGTTGACACTCTATCCCTCGAGAAGATGTCTTGACGCTTACTAGTATTCTATTTGTATGACTTCAACGGAGACGGGTATCTGCTCTATCCGTTCTTAACCCCGAAGACACTCATCGGAGCACGCTTTTAGATTCTTTTATCGGAGACTCTTGCTAGTTGCCGTTCTGTGTTTAACCAATTTGCGACCAGCGCAATTAACTGTAAATCGAGTGAGCAGCATCTGTTCATCTAGTGTGTAGCTCTCCACGAAGTCGGGTGGCTTCGCATAGCAGACGGCACCAGCAAATTTTGGTCTCTGGTGGCCACTCAATATGCGGCAACCTGCGACGTGAGTGAGAGGACCATGTGGCACCGCGACGTGGATGCCAGGACAACGAGAAGATGGCAGAGCACATCGTAGTGTCCAGCGCTTTTGGTAAGAACTTCTCGAATCTAAATACCCGTTGGGGAATTCTAAAAACGTCAAATTGCATCGTGATGCCGCCAGTGTGTACATGTACTCTTCCCACCACCAATTGGTGCGCGTCGACCATCGTGGCCGCAACTCGATTTGCTTCAGCGCCGTCGTGTTAGTGCCGCGTAACTTCCTTGAGCGTGGCTCGGTTTTGGATCCTGTCGCCGGTTTTGACACGAGTGTAACGGCAGAGATGGCTGTGTCCTTTGGAGAAATTGTAAAAGGACGCACCCTCAATATTTAATACATTCAGAATATCAGCACTGATATAACTCTAAGCATTCATTAATTGTATATTCACATACTCTTTCATATCGACTATCTTTATGAGCAGAAAGTTCGTCTGATTAGGTCCTACACCACATCACACGCAGCCATCTGCTCGCTGAATTCACCGCCTTCGGCCACAGTTGCCAATTTCCAGCGTAGAGCGCAGGTGTCAATTGGAAAATAATTGTAATAGAACAAGTTTTCTATGCGTCTTGCAGTGCGCGATGTGACTGCAATTCTGCAGGTGCGCGTGCACGTCGACGGGTCCCAATTCGACAGTTCTCTCATGACACAGCCGGAATTCCTGCTCTCCACGCGGGTGGTGTTCCGTAGTGTCCGACATGGCGGAACCCAATTGCAAGCGTCATGGCGAGTCTTCCGAAGTTTCCACGAGTTTCAGGGTCTAGATGCACAACTACGACATGCTTTTCCTCAAGATATGAGGCTTTTGGCACCACCTCCTCCGCACCGAAGACGGACATGGCTACGAAGACATCGCAGCGCCAAATTCTTGGCTAAACGTTGTGCAGAACTAAACGACTATTTGGCGCGATTACTGAGCAGTCCACACTTGAGACTCACGAGGTTTCTAGACCCACGCGCACCGCTCGTGTTGCGATGCTTTTGCAACTTTGACGTCGGCTTGATCACATCGGAGGTGACGGCACTACCCAACCAGTTCGAGAGTTGCGTCTTGTGCCTAGACTACAGAGATCGAGATGACGATGCAAAAGGAAGAATGAACGGGACAATGGGTACAGTGGATAGCAGTGAATATAGCGCCTTGGAAGGGGTCGAATTCGAACAGGAATTCGAAGACAGAGACAGCGAACACTTGATCCGACAGCGGAGACCGAGGATCCAAGAGCGACGCAGTGACGACGCCAAGCTGGACGAGTTACAGGCCAATCTCATGGACGACAAGTCTCGAAACATGGCCATGTGCACCAAATACGAATGTGCCTGTCGCGTTTCTTCCTTCCGAGTCACACACAACAAAATGATGCGGATGTTGCGACTTCGAGGTTTTAAACAAACCTACGCACCTCCGGAGGGTGCTCTAACTGCGCTGTATTGCGTGCTGCATAAACTTCAGCAGTTTAACGACCTGGACAAGAGATTATACGATGCACTCACGGGGTTTCCGGCGAAGACACCAAAGGAGAATGGGAAGTCAGATCGGGAGGCTACGGATGCTCTTGCGAATGACCACTTACAGTTATCTGTCGGTGTGGAGCTACTACGTCAAACACTGGCGAATTATGGACTACTGCATGTACACACCTTGGAACGACACTTTCGTACTTCTGCTGTGGATCTCAAGAAGAGACTTCACGAATTTAAATCTCGACGACAGCTACGTGTGGGTGCAGTGGAGCTGGTTCTATTGGCTACTATGCTAGATCTGTCTATTTATCTCATTACGAACGATCATGAAGGTTCGGAACAGAATATCTTACCACTTGCTGGCCTACGATCGATTCGAAAAGGTGGTCGTGTTAGTATGACTTTTGGGTATATTCTACCTACACTCGAATGTGTCAATGGGTTTTACCTACTGGCTGAGCGAGAACGTATTGTACCGGGAATTATGCCAGACCTGGAAAGTGAAGAGGAAATGAAGATGACAGAGCGACAGCGACGACGAATGTGGCAAGGAGTGGATGAGATGGATCGGCGCTTTATGGTGGAGATCGAGCGAACGCTTTCTAATGGTACCGATGCGTTTGCGTTAGCGTTTGACTTCGACGTGGCGGACTCACTCAATTCAGCTATCCTGGACGCAGTGTGGGACGACTGCCAGCACAACCCCAACCTGTTCTACCTCTTCCAGCGACAGGCTCGTCAGTTCGGCAAAGGACGGACTACCGCACGCTTTTTCATGCAGTATCTGGAGGTGGCATTCGGACTCGAAGGTGCCACTTATCTTGTGGATTTCTTGCTTCATGTTTTACCTGAAGAAGAACTCCGCAAGCAGCTACTACACGCTCGGTGGATGCGCTTGCATCGCCAACTTGCAAAGCGCGTATCACCGTGAGGGCGGTATCAAAACAAGCAACACTAGCCTAGGAAGGCTATGTACAAAATGTAATAAAGATATCATGACACTGTAACCATAAATTGAAACCTTGAATTGGATCTGAAAACGGTTTTGGCAAGACGTCGCGACTCTGAGAGTAGGCAAGATGGAGGACGTTGTGAAGCTCCATGCGGCCTGGTGTAGGAGTTTGCAGCAAGCGGTTGATACGGATGGGTGGGGTCAAGTGCTAGAGGCAGTTGAAGCCTACGAAAGGTTCGTCAATACTACAATTCTACCTTATTCTTTTTACTTGGATCCTTACTGCCTTGCTACAGACTGGCTGGACGGATCACCAACGCTTTACCAGCCTGTCAACGTCTTACAGAAGCGCAAAAGGTACGAGTGGACGTGAGTTTTCCAACTTGCAACACTAACAAAAATGTTTTTAGGGTATTATTGAAAAAGTCATTGTGGCGATCGAGATGCGAGCTAAGTGTCTTAGTTCGGTTGATGACCAACGGAAACCTACAAAGGAAGACATGGAAGATGTATTGAACGGTATGAAGATATCATACTACATTTTTTTTTTTACATTTACTAATATTTAGTTGTAGCTCTTCGAGGTGCGCTGTCTGACGAGCCAGAGGTGTTCCCGCTTGATGTCAGTCGAGCGATGCGAGCCAAGACTCGTGGCTCAATGGATAAAGCGAAAGATGTCGATGAAGACGCCGACATGGACGCAACTGCAGCTGCCGAACTTGTGAACGCGACTTCACAAGTTGCAGTGCTGCGATCTCCTGGAGCTACGTACCTGGATATCCGGATCACAAAGGTTGGGTTGAAAGATGCCTGTGTGTATGTCAACCCGACAATGGCAGTCTCCGTCTTCGGTAAGCTTTGCAGGCGTCTAGAGATGCAATGACCCACTCATTCCTCTTGAATATGTTGTTAGACTACAGTGGCAAAGCGATGGAGGAGAGCCGTGAGACTGGAGTAGGGGCATGTAATGAACCGCAGTATGTGACGTTTAATGCCAATATTCAGCTCGCCACGAACGTGCGGAAGATGGAGGATCGTAAGTTAATTATTCGTCCTCAAGACCGAGAACTCTGCTAATTTCGTTGCTTGTGATTCAGACGGAGCTGCTATTACCTTCGAGTTCTTCCACTACAAAGCCAAGAAGCGTAAGAAGAGTTGTCGGTGCTGGGCTCTGCTCGAGATGGATGAGATCAAAGACGGACCTGTGGTGTTGGAGCTGTACCAGAAGCCGATGGATCCGAAACGTAAACGTATTCATCTCTTCACAGAGAAGGAATTGTACTTGCAGCTGGAGTTGAGACTGCAAAAACTATGAAGAGAACAAAAGTATCAGCAACCAGAGAAGTGTTAGCGGAGAAATATTTCAAATGCACGAACCCTTTTCAATCGGTTTAGTTGCCCAGAAACGCCGCCATATCGAGTTTCTGCACGGTAAAACTGTCGCCATCTTCGTCCTGCTGACTGAAGGAGTTTGCACGTGAGCTTGACTCTTTACCAGCCTCCGAAGCACCAGCTTTGGCAGCTTCGGGTTTATCCTTTGTCTTGTTCTTTTTGCCTTTCGAAATAGCACCGAAGCGTTTCTTCTTCACACTTCCTTCTTTCACCGGTTTGTCTTTTGTCTTGTGGCTAGATGCATCTTGAGTCGACGTCGTCTTGATCAGTTTGACTACATGACGGAGAACTTCTCCCGTTTCTTGTTGAGTACAGTCTGGAGGAGCCTCGCCTCGTAAAGTACAGCTGATCACTTGTACTGCAGTGAACTCTTTTTTGATATCTTCTTCTGAGCGGATTCCTGTTCGACGGAGATCAGCACTGTACTTGTTGAAAAATTGAACAAAATTCTGCATGCGCAAGAGTTAGTAAGAGTGCACAAATACATTAATCGTTGTCCGTACATGCAAGTCGTTGTCGACGGTTGCAGCTGTGCTTGCTGGGGTTGAAAAAGAATGGGTCCGCTGGATCAATCTCGCGCAGTATTCTTTTACACACCGATTCAAGCATTGCCGAACAACCTTGGAGAAGAAAAACGATCCGAATATCCACTTCTTCAAGTCTGGGTAGTAATCGTCAAGAGTGGCTAACAAAGTCTCAACCACAGGAGCACCTTCGTCCCATTTCTTCGAAAACCATAGCTTTGTTGTGTCCTGTAAAGAGTATCAGTAAGTATCTATACAATCGCTACGTTTACGTGCATAGCGTTAGTTTTTCTATGTACCTGCTCCACTTCGTGGAAAATCTTGCTTACGATTAAATCGCAAGCGTTCGTGGCAAAAGCGACAATATCAGTCGACGTGGTATCCAAGCTATCTCCCATGAACGTGTCGAAGGCTTCTTTCTCCTCTGAATCGGTTTCAGCGAACGATATCTCCTCGACCAACTCTGGACATTTCGCCTGTAATGAAGAAAAAATGTTAATTTCTCTCCCAGTTGGTCTTCTCTACTGTATCATACCTGGAGAATCTCTGCATCGTTGATAAAGGAGCACAGCATTTCTGCATCAACCGTCTCCAGTTTGCCAGCGATGCTATCGTACCGGATTTTTAACTCCTCCATGAGGACTTGTAGGCATGTTGCGACCACGCACCCCACCAATCGCCCACTCAACCACTCCTGTGCGATCGAGATCTGGGACTTTAAGATATTCACAATGTCGTTGGGACGAGTTGACTGCAGCTCACCCTGAGGCCCCACAACACACTCCTCGTCTCGCTTCCAGATATTAGTTATCCACGTGTGGATCTGGACTTTAATCTCATCCAGATAGCCCTCCATAAGCTCCTGAGAAGTTCTGTCCAGTACGATTGACGCTCGCGAATGCTTGTACTTGATGATTTCCGTGTTGTAGTAGTCGATCCATTGGACAATCTGTAGACGCTGTGCAATCCCGACGTCGGATCTCTCGCTGAGCTTCGTGATCTCATTATCAAGTTGAGCGTTGTATGTGCTCGTGAACAAATGCACCACATCAATCTCACTCGGGAAACATGGTGCCACATCGGACTGCACAATTTCCAGGTCCACCATCAACTGGGTCGCAGCCTCGAGAACCGGAGTGAATAAGTCCTTCTTCGCGACCTCTGCTTCGCCTTCAGCGGCGCGAAAAATGCCTTCGATACGCTTCGCAAGTGACGTCATGATCTCAGTCTTGCACCTTTCTCGTATCGTCATGTTAAACTCAGCGACAGGCTTCAACTGGTTGTCCAGATACACCTCCTTCTTCGAATCCACGAAGCGTTGACGTCGTGTTTCCATCATATCCAGCACTTGAAAGGCATCCATGAGTCGCTGTTTGCCATATTGTGCTATTTCCACACAGTGGTGCATACAGCCCCATACTTCAGCGTAAATGCGCTTCTGTACACTCTCAATTGCGCTCAATCTCGACCCCATCGAAGCCAATACACGCGCCTGAGCTTTACTAAACGTAAAATAAATATTAGTAATTTACTTTTCCAAAGCATGAACATAATGTATACCTGTTCCCGAGCTCGTCACTCTTCTCTACGGCAGCAACACTTAACTACACAAAAGAGAAAGTTAATTAACATTCAGTCTTGCATAACATCGTAGTACACTTAACAAACCTCGTGCAACGTCTTCTGCCTCCAATCATCAATCTCTTGCCACTTGATGTAAACGTCCACGAAGCTCATGAGTCCACCGTCTAGAGCATCGTGCAGCCCTTGAACCTTCTTGGGTAGCTCCTCATAGAACACCATCTGATGTTCCAGTTCCTTCAAGTTGCGTCGAGCGATACTCACACCAGAGGAAGAGACTTTCTTCTCGCCTAGCTCCTCGTTCATTCGGCGGCAGTTCTGCCCCAAGTCGTTCAAATTATTGACAATTTGCTTGACAGGTGTCTCTAACTCTAGTAATGCGCTGGCTCGCTCGATCTCGTCCACTTGGGCCTGTACAAAACCTGCCAGCTGCCCCGTGGTGCTGTCCTGCTTAGCCATGTAGTCACTTTTGATCTCTTGTAACTGCGAACACATTTTTTTAATTTATGAAAATTTCTTTATGACTTGGTCAACGATCGAGAGTCGAGCCTCACCAGCTGCGAGTTGAGCAGCGACGTGGACGTCGAGTCCTTCAGCTTGACGCGCAGCACCTCCACCGGGTCGCGCGCCTCCTTCTCGAGCAGAGACATCATCATGATGTCGGGAGCGGCGAGGTCAAGTGCCTCTGCGCCGTTTGAACGTCGCTAATAAAAATGAATGATGGTCACTTCAAGATCGTTGAAAAGTTGTGTATTGTGTACAACACACCATTTAAGATCAAAACATACACTTTCGGTAAAAACAAAAATACTGTTCGCGTCAATTAGTGTTGTTGGAGCTGCTGAGCAACCATGGACGCGTTGATGCGGGTGATGGCCGCTAAGAAACGGGAGATCTCGGTGGTTCAGGAGAAGAAGCACAGTAAGAAGGAGAAGTATCTACGTCGTGCCGAGGTGGAGTCGTTGCTTGAAGAAGAGGAGAAGGCAAAGGAGGCTCCGACCAAGAAGCGCAAACTGGACCAGAAAGAAAACTCCAAAACCAGTCAGCAAATGCTGGATGAATCTACAGAATATACCGAAGACAAGACTCAAGTGAAGGAAGAAAGTGAAGCCATCCTGCCATGGCCTGATCTGCGTCGACGCCTGCGAGAACTTGGTGAGCCTATTACACTATTTGGTGAGAGCATGAAGGACCGCATGACGCGGCTCCGCAGACTGGAAATCGACGTTGTTACCAAACACGAGGTGGAACTAGGAGCAGGTCACGATATCCGCAATCGCTTCGTCGGTGGAGACAGCGGGATGAACGGAGAACAGAAAGACACAGCGGACGATGCAGCAGAAGACGCCGAGGAGTTTGACGTCGCTGACACTGCGGGGGATGGGAAGAGCAAGACGGACCGTAAAGAGGAAGAAGACGAGGAGAAAGATGCCGATAAAATGGTCTACAGGTTCTTCAAGGGCATGCTACAGAGGTGGGAGAAAGATCTGGCCAATAGACCGGACCATGTGAAGCGCACAGCGCAGGGCAAGATCGCAGTCAAGACCATGAAGCAGTGCAAGGACTACATTCGACCATTGTTCAAGCTCTGCAAACACCGACAAGTGCCGCCCGATATCTTGCCGCATCTGGTGGATATTGTCAAGTTCTGCCGTCAGGGAGAGTTCGTGATGGCGAATGACGCCTATATCAAGCTGGCCATTGGCAATGCGGCCTGGCCTATCGGTGTTACCATGGTTGGTATCCACGAACGCACCGGTCGTGAGAAGATCCACTCGAACAAGCAGGCACACGTCATGAACAACGAGTCTCAGCGCAAATATCTCACGTCTGTCAAGCGGCTCATGTCGTACGCACAGTCCATCTCGAATGTGCTGCCGTCCAAGCGCGTTCTGTAAGAGCTGAGAGAGTCATTACGCTGGAGTAAATACAATTTGTTTTTTTAAAGAAATTTTATGTTTATTGTTTCTGTTTTTGAGACCCATAAGAAGCTCTGTGTGGATCTTCGCTATTTCACTAATGGTGACCACGGCCGGGAGGGCCTCGGCCACCGCCACGGAAGTGTCCGTGTTGCTGGAACATTTGGTAATCACGGTGAATAGCTGCAAGCAACTCACTCGTCAGTGAGCACGCGATACGGAAGCTGCGCTCGTTCTCCGCAGACACCAGAATCATCAGAGGTTCATCAGCTTCTTCTGGTCCGCCTTCTTTCGACCCAGAGCCACGACCACGGACGCGGATCTTGGCATTCCCACCAGCTTCTACACTAATACGCTTCATGTTCGATCCAGCAGGTCCAATAATACGGCGTGTGACTCCGAAATCGTTGTCGTTTTCGATTCCTACGACGAGTTTCTCAAGGAATGCCGGCTCATTGGGGTCCTTCGGCCCATCGTGACTGGATCTACTACTAGGACCGCTTGGTGGTTTACCACGGAAGCGATCCGGGCCCCCAGGACCCATAGGCGGTCCGTTCGGTGGGAATGCAGCACCACTACGCTCAGCAAACACGTCTGCCAGTTGCTGCGTAACTTGCAGTGACAGCGGACCAACATCCACTCCGTTATCTCCAATAACCTGCTTGATCTGCGGGTCCGACGTGGGTAGAGCTGGCGCGTTCAGCATGACAGCAAAGCGCACTTGAACTGGGAACGGCGACGGCATGTTCGGTCCATGGCAAAATGCACCAGGCATCATATTGACGATTGCAGGAGACACAGCTTCGAAGATACCCAAAAGGTGCTGGTCCGACAAGTTAAGCAGGAACAGAGGAGTGCCCGGAGTCACGTGTTGCTGAGCTAGTCCCTCTTGTTCCTGAGAAAGACCGAACAGCATGCGACCAAAGCACTCGTCAATCGTCTGTGTGGTGCATGTGAATACGAATCCAGGTTGTGTGGCCTGCCATCTTGGCGCGGGTCCACCAAAGCCAGGTCCACCAGGAGCGCCAAACAAACTCTCCGCTGCTTCCCGTCGCCGAGTCGCGAGTTCTTCTGCACCTCCTGGAAGCTTCGGTTCGTCCTCCACGGATCGATAGTGGAGCTGAATCTGAGGTTGATTAAACAGCAAACGCACTAATGCGTGGCCTGTTTCAGCGTCCAGTTCCTGGCCGTTCGGACTGTAATTCACAACAGCGGTAACTAACGTTAGCATCAGCTTGATCGCACAATAGAACACGACCAATTCGTACCATTCTGGAACAGCAAGATGCTTGTTCTCAAACTGAGCGAGTCTCTCCCACGGACATTCACAAATACGCAGCCACTCGATACCAAACGAGCCGGCCCACTCTGCTTTGCCGTCCGCTTCGTACGGCACGATACCAGTCGATAGGTCTTCTCCCATTGACGTATCAACACTCGCCATAGCGCCATTCACCAGTCGCGCCACACCCTGGTAATGTTTGCTTGGTCCAACTGCAAATAGCAAAAAGACCTCATCCGACGTTTCCGACGCCATCTTGATCTGCTGAAGCACAGCCGGAGGGACAGCCCAGCGTCCATGGTGCACGGAATGAGCCAGATTCAAGTAGCTAGCCGACTGTACCAAGAAATACTTGGCCATCTTGCCATCGTCCGGCAGCTGTGGACCTGGCGGCGGTCCTTGATGTTGTCGATCTGCACCATTAAACCCTGGTCCATGGTGTCCACCTTGTCTTCCTGCTCGTGCTTCCTTCTCCTCTTTCTCACCCTTAGGAAACGGTCGAAGTTCAGTCTCTCCGTGTGCAAAGTGGCATTCGTCGCCAAAAGGACATGATCCCATTTTCTCCCAGTGCTTACAGATCGCGATCTTGAAGAACTCATTGACTGGCTGAGCTTTTCTGCGCTTGACGTTCTCCTCATCCGCCACTTTGGACTGCAGAGCAAAGTCTGCAGTCTCAGGACATTCCTCTCTGGCCAACTTGATGTGTCTGTAGCGGCAACTGGAGCCATGCGAGCAGAAGCCTTGCTTGTAGAAGGCGCACTCGACACGCTCTTCGTCTGGTACGTGTCGGAACGGACACTCGGGCACCTGGCATTCCATTCCCCAGCGACATTCAGGCATTTTTGACATATCGTACTGGTGCAAGAACTCGCAGTTGTCGCCTTTCATACACAGCGCGCGCAGCCAGTGGCGACACACGACGGTGCCGCGCTTGAAATCTTTCTTGGCGGCCTGGTGACCGAACGTGGCGCCGCCGACGCCCACCACGGCGCCGTTTCGGTGCTCGCCGCTGTCCATGCGGTCGTCGCCGTCCTCAGGCAGCAGCATCTCGAAGTCGAACGACAGACGCCGCTCTTCTTCATCCCGCAGCAGCAGCCCCAGCACCATGTTGCTGTCAGTACTAATATTCTCTAATGAAGAATATTCTGTTCGAAGAACAATAGCTTCCGAATAGAGGACGGTCCACTATTTGTTATTCCGCACTCTGGTGGACCACAAAGTGAAAAAAGGTCAAGATGGCAGCGCCGACCAAGGAGCTCAAGGAGTGGCTGGATGAGTGGCCAGCGGTGCGCGAGCTCGTGGATGAGCTGGTGCTGAGTCTTAAGCGCAGGTTAGTATTGTTATATGTGAAGTTTGAGATGCTTATGTGGAGGTAGGGACACAGGAACTAACTGTATAGATTCGTGTATACAGACAACTGCGCGGCTCGTATGAGACGGCCAAGATGACCACCAGCGTGCTGAGCAAAGTGGTGCGTATACACGCCGATGATGGAGTATATTGTATACAATCTGACGGGAGCTACATTGCAGTTGGAGACGGTGGAATGGTCGACGGCCGGGGAGATTCTGGAGAAGATCCGTCAGCTAGGTCACATGCTCACGAAGGCGCACGCGCACGAGTTGGCCATCGGTAACGTCGTGCGTCGTGTACTGTACATCATCCGTGAGGAGCACTCGAACGCGCTTAAGCTGTCATCCGCTGCGGCGCCGGTGTCGGGCCGCAACAACAACTTATCCCGCTCGCTTGGCACGATCCTGACACCCGGTACCGACACGGACCTCTCAATCCCCATTACAGACCTCAAGCTGGTGAGCTAGCTGCGTTATTGGACTATTGGGAAGGTGGATATTAAGCGTTGTTTATTGCTGCAGTCTGTGATGGAAGGTATTGCCGAGCTTGTCGACGAGATTGACAGCCTGCACGTCAATATTGCTGACCAGGCTATGGAATACATTCACACGGAGTACGTAGTTGCTGGAGATGTTGATGACGATACAACTTGCTAATGTAGGTTACTGTATTTTTCTTTTCTTTTAACTGTAACAGCGAGGTGATCCTGACGTTCGGACAGTCGCTGTCGGTGGAGGCCTTCCTGAAGACAGCAGCTAAGAAGCGCTCGTTCCAGGTGATCGTGGTGGAGTCTGCGCCTTCGCTGAATGGCCAGCACATGGCACATGCTCTGGCGGAGAGTGGCATCCACGTAACAGTAATTCCGGACAGCGCTGTATTCGCCTTGATGGCGCGTGTAAACAAGGTGGTGGTCCCGGCAGCGGCTGTGGTCGCTAATGGCGGTCTTATTGCGCAGAGCGGACTGCAAAACATTGCATTGGCTGCCAAGAAGTGCTCAGTGCCTGTCGTCTGTGTTGCTGGTCTCATTAAGTTGTCTCCACTGTACGCACACGACTTGGACGTTCTGAGCGAGCTTCTGGCTCCGTCAAGCATCTACAACTACGAGGACACCGTGGACAACGTACGAGTTGCTGCTGATTGCTGTGGTTGATGGCTTGATTCGCTGACATTTGCTCTACTTTGTGTTTGCTAGTTGGAGGTATTGAACCCGGCGTATGACTACGTGCCGCCTGAGTGTGTGAGGATTTTCATCACGAACACGGGCGCTCACCAGCCGTCGTACATCTACCGCTTGCTCGCCGAGTACTACTCGCCGCAGGACTACCAGCTCAGCTAGATTTGTTTGATGTGATGCCAATACGCTAAGCCCGCTTTGCTCTTTTTAGTCCAAAATCCAGCGCGCCTTGTTGGGCTTTGTGCTGTACAGGAACGGATGCGAATGGTACATGCGCTGAATGACGGCCAACTGCTGCGAGACCAGCAGACCTTCTCCAATGAGGTCATCCAGATCCTCTTCGAACCGCTCCTGTTCCTCTTCTTGGAACAGAGCGCGATAGGATTCAAAAAGGTCGCGCAGCTGGTGCAGCAGCAAGATGAGAAATCCAAGATCGCGGACGCCCAGCACTGCCTCGTCACTCACACCAGAGCCACGGTTCTGCTTGTTAAGAAGACGCTCGATGTCGCGTAAGTTGTTTCGCAGGAACCCAGCGATCTCGTGGGAGTCGTAGAACAATCTGTCACTCATGCGCTTGTAGATCATGTGGAAGGCCGACGTGACCAACTTGTACAAGCCGCCGAAGACGAGGAAGGTAGGGACTGTAGCCATCATCTGCATGTTCAGCTGGTTCGCATGCATCAACTCGTCGATGGCTCCCATGGCCACCATCAGCTCCTTCTTGATGAACTGCACTTGAATCAGCAGCATACGAACGATGTCTCCCGTCATGAGGTTCTTGACAGCCGCAGCGAGCTGCTTCTCATACTGCAACGACACCACCGACATGTCCATCTCGTCCATGATACGGTTCATCTCCGCCGATGACACCTTGGGGTTCGTGTCTTTCACAAAGTCCGACAACATGCGGCGCAGACTATCCTTCGTGTCTAGTAGAGCCTTAGCGTCCTGGATCTCAGGCTTCTGGTTCAACACCACTTCTTCGAAGATAGCTTGGAGAGGCTCAAGCATGTGTTCGTTCAGGAACTCTTGCAGTGCCGCGTGCATAGCGGCAATGCCAGCCCGGAACTCTTCCTGGTTATTAACGACCCAGAAGCCTCCAGCAGTAAGACAGATCGCCACCGTTGTGACCTGCAGCCAACGCTGACGAATCTTTGAAGGAGGACGGCAAGGAGCCATAGCCGCTTGGAAACATCGCGAAAACTGCGTCTGTGCGGTACGGAACACAATTAAATTGTTCTCCACACGACGCATCGAGTTTACCACGTCGTCACTCGAAGCAATGCCATCGCAACCTTTCTCGAAGATGTTATCATCTGTTATAACAACGTTTTTCTTGTTAGTACTCAACGAATCCATAACATTTAACTTTTCAAACTTACCGAAGTAAAATGCCGTGAAGAGAATTGGGTCTTGAGACTTGAACGCTCCGTGTCCTTTACGAGGTGGGCAGAGGCCATTGGTACTGTACACGAGCTCCAACAATGCCATGCCCTCCTTCATCCTCCCCGCCAACTGCTCGTAGTTCGCAAATGTGCTCGAGCATCGCGTCGTCAGCTCCTTCAGCATTCCAATCTTCCTCTGCATTACATTGACAGCACTCGTTAACTCTTCAATTCATACTAGGTTCACATCAACAATACCCGTACCAAATGTGCCTCCAGTGTCTCTTGCAAGCTTCGGATTCTCTCTCCGGCGGTGATTCTCTGTGCACGCGACAATATCCACTGCATGGGCCCTCTCAGAAGAATTTCGCGCACAGTGCGCTTCTTCATCTGCTTCCAGAAAGCCACAGCACGCGGCATGAAGTCGATTGTGCGCACCACGTCTACCAGCGCCGCATGTAATTGATACGTCGTCACGTGAGTCCACAGCAGTCGCAAGCCGCTCTCGATCACGACACGCTGCTCGGACGTATACACGGACGGCGCGTTGTCGTTTGCATACAGTCGGTGGCGCTGTAGCAGGTCAGACACGTCCGTTAATGCCTTCGGGATGGCGGACGCGGCGCTCGAAGGCACCGGGACGCTGTAGCACTGAGACACGACAGCCAGGGCACGTGCCAGCGCGTCCGCATGCGGGCAGCGCTTCTCAGAGCTACGCGCGAGTGAAACAAGGTCCGTAATGACGGCGGACGTCACATCTTCGTGCGTCGTGGGCGCCGACACGATCCCATCCATTCTGGTTGGATACGTTTGTGATTTTTTTTAACGCTCTTTTTTCAAGATTAATGCTTGATTGGTAGTAGCGGTAATAGTCTGGTAATATGTAATAGCCAAGTAAAAAATAGGGAACTAATAGTCCGATCCGACTATTAGGAATATTTTAAGCTCGTTTTAGTAATAATAGATGAGTATTATCTACAATTGGGGTCAGATTGTAATAGTGGAGTACTATCTGATTACACTGGCAATTCCCCCTTAGAACAACGGTTAATGAGCAATGCAGGACTGATTCGTAGCAAAATCATGGCACGAGAAGCTTTGGCAGTGCCAAATTGGCACACAGGGACGAAGCTCGCTGTACACCGTCAAACGAGTGAGCGGTTCGTCCCACGAGCAGGGCTGCCGAAAATAACATGGCAATAATAATAATGGCCATACATATCATAAATAAATGTATGTTTTTGCGATGGACCGTACAATGTCATAATGTATGTGGCGATCCTAGCTAAAAGAATAATGTATGCAAGGTGCACAGCAAAATTATGACCCCCGCAGAACCAACCATTTACTGGGGTGTGTTTTGTCTGTAGCTGTTCTCCATTTCCCAATTCACGCCCACGTTTACAAGCCCCTACTGCTCTACACCAGC